CACACACACACACACACACACACACACACACACACGACAAGGACAGACAGACAAAAGACTATTTGAACAAGCTCCATTGAAACACTACAACAGACAAACCCACCCACGTGTAAACAATGATACTTCAAACAAACCTGCTAAATGGCATTGTAATATTATCACCAGGTGCTGCCTTTTTTGTCTTAATAATACAGATCTTTTTCCACAAGGAACTCAAAAACCTTTTTACACATTGAATCACAGGATTGTGCCTTAAAGAAAACTTCTCGCATTTTTTTTTGTTCATGTGAAACAACTGAGGTGTGAAAGTATGTTGATGTGCCTAAATATTCTTTCTGAGCTGAGAGACGTCACTTTGTGCTAAAAATGTATTTATGTACTGAACAAACATACAACGTTTTTACATCACTACTGAGGAGCATTTTGTTTCTTGAACTATTAACTTGTTTCACTATCATCACTGGAGTTTGATTTTATGCAAGCATTTTATAATCTGTCATGACAGTCAGTGTGAAATATTTATATGCTATAAAAATGAATAAAAGTTTAAACAATGCAGGTTTCAGGTATTAATTTTTTTATTGGAAAAATGCTTTAAATATGTTGAGAATAATGACACAAATGTGTGTTTGCCTTTTCCAATACACATCAACTTGTCAGGGACCACTGATACTTTGCGAGGCCAAAACCAGGATCTCATATGATCAAACACCGTTTTGGGTGGAGGGGGTTTAGGGCTAAGGTATGAATTGAGTTTAAGCTAGGGTGTGGCTGAAGGTGACAGAATTTAGTGCACAGTCCTTTACTTTGTTGAACAATCGAGCCCCGCTTATCCCACTGCAGTCCCACATAAGGGGTTAATTTTAAAGTCCARATGAAKGATAAAGGTTAAGTTTCGGGTTGTCAGAGTCTGACACTGAAAATCCTGGAGTGGCACCAAAACCAAAAGCCAGAACAGAACTTTAGTTTTGTTGTGTTATTTGATATGAGAATGAGGAAATCACTCTCTGATGTACAGTACATAGGTGTACTTTAATTATTTTTTTTACAGTTGATTACTAATACATATAAAAGATAATAATCAATTTCATACTCAACTTAATGAAGCTTGTCCTCGCCGAAATTTATTTTTACAAAAATTATTATGTATATAAAACAGTTTTTTAGGGGTGGTCATTGCCCTTCTTGGTGCCCCCTTGGTGGCACCCCTGGTGCTTCATGGGGCATAAACTGATGTGAGCAGGGTGAACAGTCCTTAAAAAAACTGAGGCTGAAATAAATCCCATGTCAAACAAGAATGCATGGAAAAATACAAAAAAAAAAAACCCTGTCATGTCAAAAGAGAGGGGTAAACAGAAATAAGAACAGAAAAGACTGGACTTGAATAGAATTTAGGAACATGCTTGAGCATTTTGGACTGTGTTGTCCCTATTGTCTTCCAAGGTCCTGGAAAAGAACAAGGCAGAGGTGTTGAGTTACAACTCATAAACACAGCTGTCATGTCAGTGCCTGATCTGCTACTTTATCCACCTTCCTGGTCAAGTTCTATAACTGTGAAAGAAATAATCCACAATCTCAAACCTATTTGTCTGACCCTGTTCTAAATGAATGTGGATATATCACACTTGGCTCAACAACATAAAGTGGCTGTATGCTGATGTGGATTTTCAGTCAGATGGTAAATAAGCAACTTGACTTCTATTCTGTAGCTGAACTGAAACATTTTCAGCTACAGAATAGAAGTCAAGCTGCTTTTACTTTTTCTTAAAATTTTTTTTAAAGAAATGGTCCGCCTTGAGCCAGCAGCACTGTAAGAGTAGGTTGTTACCAGGTGTATGCACAGTAAACAAAACCCATTCATTCCTCGTTTCAGGAGAACTGGTTTGGTGGCTCTTCTTCTTATTGTGTGAATTCATTTCATGTGGTACAGTCTTTTGGGACGTAGATGTGGAATCTCAAAGCTTTTGTTCTTTAACTTCAAAGTAACGGATCTGCCAAATTAAATAAATGTCTTTTATGTCCAATGAGACAAAAACACTCAGAACCAAGGTCCTGTTTACATGTTGGGAGTTTTTATGTGAACACAACAGCTGTTTTTCTCTCTAACACTGAAAATTGTTTAACAAAAGCTCTTGTGTGATTGGTTAGTGCTGTTGTAGATGATGCTCATCTACTTTCTCACCAAGTTTTAGCTCAATGTCTGTAAAACAGATGGCATTATTGGTCAATGTTCTGTTTCTAGGGTTGAAATGATTACTGGCACATAAAATCCATCTAATACCTTGAGAATTATTTTGCTAACAGACAAACACCTTAAACAATTACATACTTACATATAATTACATACCTTGATAAGACAAAAAATAGTCACATTAGAATCATTCAATTTTTTTATTCTGTGATGAATGAAGTGTGTTGCTACAGTGTATAAATAAGAAGTTTAGCAAAAATAAAAAAGGTCGTTCAGATCTCTTTGTTCTCATTGGAAATATGTGGTACTAAAAGAAATGTTTATCAAAAATTGTAGGAACATAAAATCTGTGTACAATATAAAAAATCACTTTAAGGCAGAGAGACAAACAAAAGGAAACATTACGTGTTATTTATGGCCACAAGAGATACACATAAAGAATTAATAATAAAAAAAACATTGGTAATTGACATTGTAACCAGCCAAGCATTTACCAGTACATATAAATATACAACTTCATATAAATAAAATTAACTCAGAGATCATTTTTTATGAGTGAAACCCTTGATCCAAATCATAAATAATTCAAGATGTTTTAAGCAGAAAACAATGTACAAAGCTTATCAGAACTCCTAAATACACTAAAACTAATCCTTTGGATCATTTTATATAGATCAACTATAGGAGGGGAAGACAGTTTCTTTAGTCAAGCATATCGTTTTTCCCTTTGACGAGTTTTCCCGCAGCAATTTGATATTTAGCATGAGACAGCAAACACGTGTGGAGTAAAGCTACAGTATGTTATGAACAAAGCCAAGTCTGAACACAAAGGTGTGTTATGTCAATATTTACTCATACTTTGTCCTGAGCGCACCTTTTCTGACATACCAACAGGGTTTAAAAAAGGCATATAAAGAGACGGCTCTGCTTTTATTTGTGCAGTCATTTTTATGTTTCTCGGTAAAGTGGAAAAAACACAGTTGTGATTGTAGCATTTAAAAATCCATTGCATAGGGCGAGGTTTCTCTTGGCTTTCTAGTTTAAGATCAGTTATCAGTTTTACAGGCGTTACAGAGATGAACTCTGAAACAGGGCTAATCAACTGGTGGCCAGGGGTCCATGTCCGGCCTGCAGCTGAGCTCAGTCTGACCCCATGATCAGTTCATTTAACGCAAAGATAGATTTTAATCAGAAAAAAAAAATCAATGAGAGAGAGAGAAAAAAATGAAATGACATCATCTCCTTCAGAGAGGTGATCCTGTTCCAGGATCAAACTCAGCCCATGGCACTATTTAAAATATATACTGTATATTCAGAAACAGCCAGACAAAAATCCTGAGCTTTTCTGTTTTCATCATAAACCATACCCACATAGCAAAATATGTCTGGCCCAAGTCTGGACTACACAAAATACTAATGCTCTAACACTCGGCCTAGATGATGGAAAGAATGATGGCCCTTTGGTGGCCCAGATGTGGTCCATGTACTGTATGGGCCTGCACCACATAAACCAAACCAAAACTGGACCAGTTGTGGCAAACCATCTTATAAACATCATTGCCAGACCTGGCCCACATCCAGCTGACAAACCACTTGCCATGCCAGCTTGAACTCAGATCTGGACCACACCTGTCTGCTACGTGGGTACTTTCTCTAACAATCTCCAGCTCAGGGGTCTCCAACCTTTTTTTCCTCAAGAGCTACTTTCACAAAATTAAATTATCCAAAAGCTACTTTTTGCAACCTTTAATCTTAATGGATTAAGCTTGTTTAGAACAGAAAACATCTTCAATTAACATGAAACACTGAATTTACATAAATGTGCTTTTTGTGTTTATCCATTCATATTATAGTGTATTTCACACTAATAACTTAGGGTTTAACTGTGACAGATTTGTGCACAAATAACATCAGGTGACAGGTCTCCAAATTTTTTTCACATTGTACACTCCAGCAGGAAGAAACCCCCTGTAGTGACATATACCACAGCAGGAGGGGTTTCCCAGGAGCTTGGCACAGTGCGTGTCAAGGGGCTATGAAAAGTGTGTGCAAAAATGAATACCAAATAACCACATAACCGCACGTTGTTTGCCGATCGACCATACTGAGCCCAAAACCATTTGATTGACAACCAAAGGGAAGGGACATCTATAGATTGGTTGGAGTTAAATGAAAGTTTGTTTGGCCAGTGATAAATTAAATTTTGCTTCTCCAAATTTTTCATAAGCACTGAAGAGCTTCTTTAAATGAGCCCAAGAGCTACTGGTAGCTCATGAGCCACTGGTTGGAGACACCTGCTCTAGCTCCTGTCAAATATGAAACGCTGCAACGACCCTCTGAAGTTTGTAGTATAAAAATTACACAGAGGAAAGAATGTAGTAGTGTTTTATAGTGAGATAAGCATGCATGCATGATCCTATCATGCAAAACCTGGAGGAGGTACGCATTCATACAGGACATGTACAAATGTTTCACAATCAGGGTGGGAAATTGAAGTACTGTTGTGTAACACCACAGGGTAAGGCCAGAGGTTGTGGGATGTAAAAGCTAAGACTCAGATTTCCAGACAATCCCAGTGAAATCTTCATGCTTTCAGTCTTTGTGTACTGGCCTGACTGTGGTTCTCAAAGGAAGCTAAAGGGTTAAGCTACATGAAATGATTGAGAGACTCACAAATGTCCCTTCTTCCATTTTTTTCTTTTTTGGTCTTAGTTCATGAGTGCCACGGTGCTCTCGGTTTGGCCGCCAAAGATCCCCAAGAAAAACTCCAGCGCCAGACGCACGTGGATGGGTACAAACACGTATGACGTGTAGATGACCATGGCGATGGCCGCGAAAAAAATAGAGTTAAAGATGGACTTTTCCCACGGTTCCAGGACGTAGATGCCAGTGATGAGCAGGTACTGGTAGTAGAGCCAAGCCAAGTACTCCCTCATGTTTTTGAAGCTCATCCTGCAGACTGAGTGGAGAGGACAGAAAAGTCTGTAAATTTTAGGCAAAACAATGACGAGATAAGCACAGTCATCACAAAACAGTTTTTTTTTTTCTTAATGGCCGTTGGGCAATATTTCTATAACACTTTTCAATATTTTGGCTCTGTGATTGATGAAAGTGCCAAAGCAGGGACAGGAGAAAAGACTTTCTGCACTATGAAATTGGACTGAATGACACATTTCCACATTCTTCTTGTACAATTTGTGCCAAATTTGTTGGGACTTTGTATACATATTGACAAAAAAATACAGCTCTGGTGCTCTAGTTTTACCAACACATTCTGTGTTTGTTTGTTTATTTTTGTTTTGTATCTCTTTCTCTGGTTTTGCTAGAAGATTCTCCCCGCTATAAGAGAGACATTTTTTTCCACTGTCACTAATGTGCTGCTAAGGATGAGAGACTGCAAGATGAAGATTCAACACAATCTGCAGACTTCCTCAGTTAGATAACTTTTACTACTTTTACAATCATTTTGTTATGTACATTTTCCATATATATA